CATCTTTTAGTATCTTCAAAACAATGTGACTTAATTTACTTTGCCTAGTATGAACAGAAGCATGAAATGGAATAAGTTACTTATGTTGGAATATACAACCCCCCTCACGCCCCCACCTACATCTGAGAACAAAAGCCCCAATGATCGCTTTGTTTTCTATTGGCTGTTCTGCAAGAGGCATCGGTTAGCAGTGTAAATGAATTTCAGAACGCCTGTTTCATCCTATTTGGATTTAGTCATAGTGCATATACCAACACTCCGTAGAATCACGAAGTGAAATCGGTTGGAGGACCATTGGAAAGCCAGTTACGAGTACTGGACAGCTGTTTCATCAGCCTAGTTTGGGACTCTTAATCAGCATGAACTCACTGAGGTTCGAACTCAGGTTCTTCTGGTTGCAAGTCTGATGAGATAGCTCGTAGACCATTAAGCCATTGGGATCCATCCGATCCAATGGCCAGGCCATGAATTCCACCACTAGCGAATGTCATTCGTGGCAAATATTTGTCCTCATGCCCGACCTACTATACACCCCCTCTAGCAAACCAACAAATGAATATCAATCCGACGCTCACTAGTGACTGATCCTATTCAGGTAGGTAGTTACCCGGGTCCCAATGGGAACTCGTGACCAGTAGGGTACAGCAGGTCTGGCATGAGGACAAATATTCGCCGTGGATGATACTGGCTAGTGATGGTGCCATATCATGAATTGGCAGAAGTTGGAATTCATGAGTTAGCCATTGAATCGGGTCCCAATGGCTTAATGGTCCACGAGCTAGCTCGTCAGCCGTGTAACCGGAGGGTCGTGGACTGGAACGCCGTGTTGTGGGCGCGTACTGATGAAGATTAACATGATTTTATTTGGTGGATGGTGACTACCAGTGGAATTACTTCAATTACTGAAAGTTAATCCTCAGACAGACATCGTTGAAGCATCTGTACTAGGAGCTGACATGTCACCAGCGGTCAAAAGTTTCAGTTTAATCAAATAACGAGAAAATCAAGTAATAACTGATGCCCGCTGTACAAGAATTGGATCTTCTGGTCCAAGTTGTCTAGTGGATGAGTCTCAGTGGAAATATCACCACTTACTGCGAATACAGGCACATCCTGATGACGAGTCTCTTAATGGGACGAAATGTGCATCTTGGATTCCACTGTCAGTCATCATCCACCAAATCATTCCAAATGCTTGTTGACCATTTAGACTATTGGTTCTTTAGGGATTTAGAACAATTTCAGTATAGATTTCGTCATAAACCAAGATCAGTTGGAGAGATTATTGAGAACCAGGTAGCACTGGACAGCTATTGGTTTCGTCTTAGTTCAGGACTCTTCAGTAGTGCCCACCAAGATCCCACTAGGGATGGATACTGGGAAATTAATCCAATTCCCAACAAAACCTATAATCTAATTAGTCAGTCTTCAGTTTATTGGCGGCTGCTGGAAGGATAGCTTGAAGCTGTCTTGGGAAATCGTCACCACTAGGGTCCATAATGTCTAAATGAGAAGTAGACGCTCATAGATTGGCATAGGTTAGTGGTAGCGTTATGTGACGGATGAGGTGATAAGTTGGAATCCACAGATCATCGAATTTGGGCTAAAGTGGCTGAATACTCGATAGGTTCGGTTTCGTAATCTCAATGTTCTGGATTCATTGGGATGCACACTGTTGAAGCGTCCCAAACTACAACAAAACAGCTAGCTGTCTAGCACTCCTTGGTTTGTAATAATTCTCTAATTCGTACTGATTCGTGACGAAACCTGTTGATGACTACAATATATGTCAAGTGATTGTGTATAGGTTACCTGTATGGTGTTCTCTGAACGTTAAGAATCACTGGTTGAAGACTCTTAATGGCATGATTCAAAATGATTTTCGGCTTCTTAGATGTACTCACTCGGCACACGATGTTCTCTAATTTCATTTTGTCTACTGGGTATCACTAATCGCAATTGAATGAAACTTCTAATTTTATTCCATTTCTAACTGGAAATTAGATGATTTAATTGAATTTTAGATTTTCCCGTCGATTGATTGGAGTGAATTGCTCGGTCTCAGATTGACTTGTCTGTCGACTTCTTGTACAGATGCTTCGATGATGTCTGAGCATGTAACAAGAATTTATTTGGTGGATAGTGACTAGCAGCGGAATTCATCCAAGATGCGCATTTCGCCCTGTTTTGGACTCGACAGCTGGGTGTACTTCCTCATTCCTCAGTGAGTGATGATTTTCCCAACACCAAGGTTCGAACACAGTGCCCATAGTTTGAAACACCAGCCAAAGAGTTATCCACTAGACCACTTAGGCGACGAGAACCAGCCACCTCTTATGCAACGGTTCCTTTTGATTATTGAATTGAATTTTAGATTTTCCCTTGCGATTGATTAGACCGAAGTGCTCGGAAATTAGATCATTTCGGTATGGAAACACTTCTTTTGCATTACATTATATTCTACGCCTACAAAACTTTCGTTAAACGTCTGATTAGCTAATGATAAATGAGGTAGTCTTCAAATCGATGCAGATAAGATAGGGGCTACACTGACACTATCAAATGGAATTAAATATCCAAGTATATAATACATTATTTGGGTTAATGATGAGTCTGGCAGTGAATGAAATACAGTAGACACATTTCGTCCTATTTTAAACCCATCAGTTGGATTTACCTGCAGTCCTCAGTGAGGGATATTGCGTAGTGGATAGTGCTTTAGCAGTTGAAACAACAGATGCAGAGTAAGAATAGCACTGGGAATATCATTCATCATTCATTGGGGATGCGAGGGTGTGTGCGGCTGATAAGTTCCAAATAGGATGAAATACGAATCACCATCAACCAAAATAATATCACATTATTATATAGACAACTGTCGAAACATCCAACATTTCAAAAGGGACCGTTCATTTCTGCTCAATATAATCAATCCATAGGAAACGTATTTGTCATTTTTGTTTTTATAATGTAAACAAAACATGTGAGTTGCTATGGTTACGATCAATGCATTCAATATTATTATTATGAGTCAGTCACATATAAGCATAAAAGTGTGTCAGTGATTGGTTGGTGGAATGCATGTAAGCCACACAGATTCGATTCCCAGTCGATGCACTGCTAAACTTTACACTGAACCGGTAGAAAACCTGGTTATAAGGGAAAATTGAATGTGAGGTTGGCGACACCACTCCGAAAAAAGGAAATATCAGTGCTACTGAAGCGCCAAAGGTAAAGCTTGAATCTCTACATCTTACTCAGAACAAAAGAGTGAAAAACAAGTATAAATTGATAGTGACCAACGATGGAAGCCAGGATGCGAATTTTGGTTGGTTGCATTTGAGACTCGTCAACTGGATGTGACTGGTAACTGGAGTTCCTATGGACACTCATACACAATATCCAACGTTTCAAAACAGCATAGCGTTATCCGTTAGCATATTCATTAGTCTAAAGAGAGATTTAAGGTCTAAAAATAAAGGCGTTAGGTTCGAGTTTCAATAGGAACATCATACCTGTAACACTGAGGGTTGCAGGTGCACATCCAGCTGACGAGTCCCGAGTAGGATGAAACACGCGAACTGAATTCCACTGCAAGCCAGCATGAATCAACTTAAAGGATGCCTATATTACTCTTAAGGTATCATCGAAGCTTACGGTCGACTAGTATATTTAACAAGTTCTATTATAGAGATAAATGGGATAAATGACAGGCATAAAATGGACCCACACAAAATACTTGGAGGATCTGGACTTCGCCGATGTGATATATGTTTGTCTGATTTCCCACAAACTGGAAGATATGCAAGTGATGAAAAGCAACAAGCTGGCGATAGAAGAAGCATCAAAGATAGAAAGGAGTTCAAGTGAACATAGAGAAAACAGAGGTAGGTGATGAAGATTCCTGGCCAACACCAACAGCCACAGCAACAACAACAACAGACAACAATCAGCCTGCATAAATGGGAAGAATCTAAAAGAAACAACCTCCTTTACCTACCGACCGACCTGGGAAGCATCGTTTCAACTACAGGAAGACGGAACTGATGAGGATATCAAAGCAAGAATCGGAAAAGCAAGACAAGCTTTCATTACTTTCAAGTCTGTGTGGAGATCAGTACTCCACGCTCAGCATGAAAATGGAAATAAGATCCGGAGTTTCAGCCAGTGCTACTATACGGATCAGAGAATTGGCCAGCGCGTCATAAAGACCTTCATCAACAGCTAGTTGTCTTCGCTCAATACTCAAGATCAGATGGCTGGCCAGAAAAGATCAGAAACAGGGATCTCTGACAATGAGCGAACCAACCAGGAACCGATTGTGCAACACATAGACAGGAAGAAATGGAAGCGGATTGGATTGGCCATACTCTGAGAAAACCATCAAGTGACATCACTAGACAAGCCATCGCTCGAGTGGTACCCGGCCGAACGGGAAGCGGCGAGTTGTTCGTCAGTGCAAGGGTGACGACTTGGAGGAGGTGATGTGAAAAGAAGATGAAAGCATGTGGACAGACCTGGAGCCAGGTGGTGAAAACTCTAGCAGAAAACGGAATGCAATGGAGACGTGAGCGGCTGAAGCCCTATGTTCCTCTAGGAATTAAAGGAAATAATAATAATTATTATTATAGAGATAAATATGTATATATTTGATTATGAATAAAAACCAAATCAATAACCTTTGGAACAGATCACTATTTTGTTTTTGCTCCTTTCAAATAAGAACCGGGATGTTTAATTTCAATTTCGCATAAGTCATAAATCACAGTATAGAAGATGTTTGTTGAACAGGTGAGTGTGTGTGTGTGTGGATGGGGGGTGAGGAAATAAAGGCAGGAGAAAAAGAGGAGGGGTGGGGTGCACCGGTCGTTAAAATTACAAACAAAAGAAAAATTGAGGAAAACAAAATCGAAAATATTATGTATGCATGGTGCTAAAAAATAAAGAGAAAAATAATTCATCCGAATGAAACAGTATTCAGATGATAGGCGATTGACTTTTATCATTCTGTCGATATCCAATAATCAATAGTCACCGGTTGATTTGTATGAGTACTACTATTGTTGTTATTACTACTGCATAAGGTGTTCTTTAAGCTAAACTGTGTTCTATTCATTGGTTGATAGATATTCTGAGGATAGAAATGACTTCCTAGCTCGTTAAATTCATAATTTTGAGAGTTCATACTCCCAATACTACTGTTGCTAGTACTGGGATGCATCATACTCTCTGAAGACTTTTCATTCTCTTCTCTCCTATCGACATGATTCTCTTCATTCCTATCGGTTTCTGATAGAAAGGATGTATGCGATAAACACTGATTTGACCAATTATTATTATTATTGGCTGAATGTGTGGATAAATTACTTTTGAATTGTACGCTACACGCTTCTTTTTCATTGGTTGGTTCTGCGTCAAGGTCATCACTAAAGTGATCAATCATTTTCGATTGAATTTGATAATTTGATTGATTTAAACAACAATTTCCTATTGGAGTTGATTGATTCATGCTTGAATTTAAAATAAAATCAATATAATCAGTTGATTTATCATTGAATTGTTCATTATCTATCAGTTGATTTTGACTGTCATCAAAAATTTCATTATAAGTATTAAAGTATTGAACCTGTTGGTGTTGTTGTGGCTGATCCTGATTTTGACGATGATGATGATTACTGCTCGAATCGAAAATTTCCATGCATAGATCATTTATAGGATAGTGTACAGTATAAGCTGTAGATGGTTGTAGATGTAAAGGTGTTGCTGCCTCGTTAACTGTCGTCGTCCAAATATCATAATCCACTTGACAGGGGTCACTGCCAGGCATTAGTTGGGTTTCGTTAGTGTTAGTCATCGACTGTGCAACTCCATGAATAGGTGTAGTAGAATAAACAGACTGTTGACACCATTCAGATCCTCCTATTTCATGCGTGTTTGAAGATTGTGTAATCGTATCGAATTCAGTATATCCTGGATTTACTGTTGACTGAGTGTATTCATCATCACAATAGTTCACAGCAATTTGATCAGGACCCATAGGATATAAGTGAATATAGTTCACTTCGTGTATAGAATGATTACAGTTCAGGGCATTCGGTGAATTGGATGAAATATGATAATAACCGGGATTTGTACTGAAAGAGTTCAGTACAGTTTGATTATACAGTGAAGACGAGAAAGGCAGTGATGATAATGATGACGACGACGAGGGAGCACCACAGGAAGACGACAGGGAGGATGATGATGATGATGATGAGGCGGACAGTACAGACGGTGATGACGGCCAGTTGGGGGAACCTGTCGGCCCATTATTATTATTATTACTGTTATTGTTGGCATACATATCACTAGTCGTTGTTGTTGTATTTCCTATAGACGTTGATAGATAACTTTCTAATCCAGTCGAAGAACTCCATGTTGGCATCGAACTGTGAGGATTTATTGTCATAGGAAGCGGTGGAATCGGTGGCGGCGTAACAGACATAGAATCCCCTAAGTAGATATGACTCCCCATACTTGAATGATCTACCAACTGGGTCGATGTGAAATATCCTTGATCAGTGGATATCACCTGATTACACCATAAATTACAATTGGTACTTTCATTATTCTCCAATGGATCCAATCGATAAAATGTCACATTATTGCCACTACTAGTATTATAAGATAAATTTTTATGTAATTCACCTTCCCCTGGTGTCACTTTCAGTTCACTTAAAGTATGATCTACTGTGTTAGCTGGTATTTTTGAATTTTCATGGATTGATTTTTTTGTTGGTTGATCTATAAACAATTCAAAAATAAAAAAACATATTCATTTAAATAAAGAAAATGAGAGATCAATAAAGCGAAATTTAAATTCTATTGAATCCTTGAACCATTAATGTCGTAGATTTGAATAAAAAAGGACCAGTGGGAAGAACCATTGGAAAACCAACTGGCAGTACTGGACAGCTGTTTCGTCAGCTCATGATGAAATCCTGTAACTAATCAATCAAATCCCTACAAACCAATACTTAAATACAAATGAGATGCTCACTAGCGATTTGCCCTATTCAGGTAGGTAGTTACCTGAGGTTCTAGTAAGAAGTCGTGACCAGTAGGGTGCAGCAGGTGGTCGGTTGTGAGGACAAATACTCGCCACGGAAGACATTGGCTAGCGGTTGCGCTATATAGTGAATTGGCAGAAGTTAGAATTCATGGGCTTCTCATTGGATCCGGGTTCCAGTGGCTTAATGGTCTACGCGCTAGCTCGCCTTGTAACCAGAAGGTCTTGTGTTGAAAAAACCCATAGTGTGGGTGCATACTACTTAAGAGTCCCAAACTGGGACGAAACAGCTGTCCAGTAATCCCTGACTGGTTTTCCAGTGGTTCTCTAACGATTGTCAACTCACAATGAAATCCTGTAATCACTGATTCTTTGTTCATCGAATCGAAATAAGGCAACGCTTATCCCTGCTGATCCATAGGAAATTACAGCAGACAACAATATGGAGTTATGAGGCTACATAAATCAAATTATGAGGTCGTGTGAACACATTGACGGTATGATTATGAGCAGTAATCAATTGTGATGGCAAAGTCATCAAGTTATGAATACTGTGTATCAACCACTGTGTGTACTATATCAAGTTAACTTTTACAATACAGAATTTTATATTCTACCACAGTGGCCGAGTTCTCCTCTGACATGAAGCACTCAACAGATGTTGAATTGGTTTTTTTTTTTAAGACCCTACTCAAAGGGAGGAATTTGGAAGAGGTTGCTCCTTGCCTTCACTTATCTAAGAAGCACCGTTTCAACCAAAGCTGGTGGAACGGATAAAGACGTCAAAGTCAGCTGGTCAGCCAGAATCAGAATGGTAAGATATGCCCTTTATCAACCTGAAATCAGTCTAGAAATCTTCTGCACTGCACTCAGTCAGCATAAAGAACAAGGTTCGGATTCTATTCAACACAAATGGGACGTTCGGGTTCCACTCGACAGCTTGTCTAGTGATGTCACTCACTTGATGGTTTTCTCAGAGTATGGCCAATCCAATCCACCTCCATTTCTTCCTGTCTATGTGTTGCACAATCGGTTCCTGGTTGGTTCGCTCATTGTCAGAGATCCCTGTTTCTGATCTTTACTGGCCAGTCATCTGATCTTGAGTATTGAGCGAAGACAACTAGCTGTTGATGAAGGTCTTTATGACGCGCTGGCCAATTCTCTGATCCGTATAGTAGCACTGGCTGAAACTCCGGATCTTATTTCCATTTTCATGCTGAATGCTGTTGATCTCCACACAGACTTGAAAGTAATGAAAGCTTGTCTTGCTTTTCCGATCCTCACTTTGATATCCTCATCAGTTCCGTCCGCCTGTAGTTGAAACGATGCTTCCCAGGTCGGTCGGTAGGTAGGTAAAGGAGGTTGTTTCTTTTAGATTCTTCCCATTTATGCTGGCTGATTGTTGTCTGTTGTTGTTGTTGCTGTGGCTGTTGGTGTTGGCCAGGAATCTTCATCACCTACCTCTGTTTTCTCTATGTTCACTTGAACTCCTTTCTATCTTTGATGCTTCTTCTATCGCCAGCTTGTTGCTTTTCATCACTTGCATATCTTCCAGTTTGTGGGAAATCAGACAAACATCTATCATCGCGGTCGAAGTCCATATCCTCCAAGTATTTTGTGTGACTCCATTTTATGCCTGTTTCCTCATTGCCCGCTGTCAATTCTTCTCTATGGTTTAGAAACCTGAACTACGTGTGCATCACTAAAAGCATTTCCAACAGACGACTGAAGACATTTATCAACGACTGCCCCCTTCACTGGCTCCATGCTAAAGATCAAATGGCAAGCCAGTCGGCCGGCCAGAAAGATTTAGCAACAACAAACTCTGGCTGCTAACAAACTAATCAAGAACCGATTGTTCAATAAATCTGCAGAAGTAAATGGAGATGGATCGAGAACACACCCCTGAGGAGACCGGCGAATGACAGCACATGACAGTCCCTTGAATGCGATCCGAATGGGAAACGACAAATTAGGCGTTGATTCGAGTGTGACATGGGGGAGATCGTGGCAGGAGGAAGAGATAAAGACTATGGGCAATCGTGGGACAGGCTAAACAAGACAGAACAGAGTAGATACGTGCTGCTGAAACCCTATGTTCAACACTCAGAACCTAAGGATACAATGCTAATTAAATAATAATAATCAACGTGAATATATATATCCCAAAGTGTCATTTCGATAATCTTGTTAACAAAATCAAGTCTACTTACTTTTTCGGCTACTTTTCAAGTCTCCAAGTGTCGAAATAGACTCATTATTTGATGGAAACTTCAAGAAATCTTCATATTTTCGATGTTTCTGTAAACAAAAACAAAAAAACCGAGGGGTAAGGGGGGGTTAATAAAAGTTCCTGTTCTCTGTATTTTTAGAATAATAATAAATCGATAAAATCAATTGCCAACATAATAAAGTTTCAGAGTTTTATGGATTTAATCGACTTCAGAGTAGGACTGCATCATGAACTGTGGTAGATCAGTTTGAGAATCATTGGAAATCCAGGCGCACTGGACAACTAGCCGTTTAGGCCTACATTGGAACTTCACAACGCTGATTACTTGTTAACCAATCATCAGTTATAGAACACGTGACCTTCAAATAACAAACTGCATTACTGAAGAGTATCAAACAAGTACGAAAGACATATCCAGTGTATCGTCAACAACAACTTAAGTGATAGTAATAGCCTTATTCTGGACAAAATCTCTTCATAACATAAAGAATTATCAAAGTAATTTACTGGACAATGTTTCTTCTTCATCCAGAATCTTCAAGAAAACTGTAGCAGTCTATAGTATACCACGTGACGCAGTACTGTTCTTTCTGAAGCACAGAATAATCCCCTATGATATTTCTTCTTCGTCCGATTAAAGAAATGCGAACCAGTAGGTTGAAAGGCAATTAAAATTTTCGCTATTCAAGGACATGCTTGAATGGTTGAAACACAATAAGAATTAGAGAGAATTTGATGTGCTGTGTTAGTTACGACTTTGGGTAGCCCAACAACTCACACAGTCCACCGGAATTTAGATATCAGGTAGAGAACATCTAAAACTCACAGACTACTGGACAGCTGTTTCGCCTCTGCTGGAACTCTTCATCAGTGCCGGATAGGGTCATCGGGGTGCTGTACACTTTTTAATGATTCCCTAACTGATGTCGACTCGTGATGAAATCTACTTTGAGATAAATTGGTTAGATCTCTTTAGTGTAATGTAGTCGGTATGTCAGTACTGTCAACCACAGCTGATTGGCTTTCAGAAGGTTTACAAATACTTACTTAGCAATATCACTTAATTATTCCTTTACCAAACTAAAAACTTAGTGATAAACATTGTTTCCGTGAAAATCATGCAAGCACAGCTTCCCGTAGACTACTGGTTAGTTGATTAGAGTAGCTATTCAACTAATTGTTCAATTAAATAGTTAGTTAGTTAGTTAGCATTCGACACATTATGCGATCTTCCTGATACCAGAAATGATCTATTATAACAGATGTTACTATGTAGTATGAATGGTTGGAGACCAGTCGTGTTTATAAACAGGTCTCTAAAGGTTAATCAGCAAATATGGATGACATGTCAATATCTTCCTAGTTAACCTACTAATTATTCCATATTGATAAGTTATCATTTAGAAAATAGGCACATAAACAATCGCTCATAATATTCCAACTTCTTCTAATTCTTGATGCATAACTGTGCACAGGAGGTTACCATGGATTCTAATGAGAACTCGGGTCCATGAAGTCAGACGAGAGTACAGTTACTCTCCAGTGTTATTGCATGGTAGTTGTGCTTCATATCACAGATTGGCAGACAGTGGAATTCATGGGACACTAGATTCTACCCCAGGGAGTGAGTGGTCTTCGACCTCCTCCTACAACTGAGAGAACCTGGGTTCGAACACCGGGAGGAGGTCACACCGTTTTAACAAACTCAAACTACAACGGAACAACTATCCGGTGCCAGTCAAACCTGTAATCAATCTTATCCTAGCTATATCAATCCTTGATAAATAATCAACTTTATTTAAATGTAAAAAGAACTGATCAATTATAATTTGGAAGCAGGCATGTAAACAAATACAAATGTGGAACATTTTAACGGTCTACCAACTAATTTTTTTGAATTTACCTACCTTTAAGTTGACATTGGATGATTTCTTTTCACGACGTATTGATTTACCAGTTGAACGTTTATTGTTATTATTATTGTTATGTAATTTCATTTGAAGTGTATTTAATTCAGGCGGGAAATTTAAATCTCCCGGCAGCTGTTTCGTTTGATCTGATTGGTTAATATCACTATGAGGTAGTATAAATGAATTTAAATGATAAGTTTGTTGATAATAACCATTAGGCTGATGTTCATTGACTTGATGATAACCGTTGACAGTTGTAGGATTATGTAATTCATCTTTGATTGGAGCTATTGTCAGTCTGATATCTGTGGCAATTGCTGGCATTGATGTTGTTCCTGTTGGTTGTGATGCTGGTGCTGTGGTGGTTGTGTTCGTATTCCCCGATGAGTATTGATGATCTGTATCAGACAAGCCGAAAGTTTTCAGTGATGGACGATTATGATCATGTTCACCTTTTGCTTCAAAGTAGACAGCACCATTAGCAAAACGCCAAAAATGTGTAACAGGATAACCACTATGTCCACGACAATTCCGCAGTACAAGACGACCTTTACAACCAGGAGTAATACATTCACGATCTAAAAAGATAAACAGTGAAGGAAAACAGAAAAAGTTGTTTAGTTAAATTATATATACATTGATTAATTGATCGATCGATTGATCGATATGATGTACATTTTAGGCTTGTTAGAGATATTGTTTCTTCAAGACACGCCAACATGGCCAATAACTATGTAGCTTTGATCAACTAAAGGTTGCTAAGAATTAGGTTTAACTACAGATTTAGAGCAACGAAACGAATATTAGCCTCCTTAAAGCATCACTCCTCTTGTGGCGTCTGGAATGCTTTTCCTGGCCCTTGAAAATCCGAGCCAATTACTAAGATTTTCGTGTCACGCTGTACCCACGTCTGCATCAGGTCTCCAAGGTTAATAGTCTCTTGCAGTTGAACATTGTAGGTAAAGGAATTTGGTGGATTGGATCCATAACTTGAGGAGAAGAAGTGACTCTGGGTTTCGAGTCAAACAGGCTGAAATCAGATAGTTTTCAGTCCAGTTGAAGACTGAATTTTTCGGTTCCTTGTGTGTTTCGACTGTCATTGTTATGGAGTTACCGGACTCTAGTCATGACCGATGGTAGGTAGTTTCAGCAGTTAGTGTTTTCTGACGAGCAGCGTACATGGCTTGCTCTGCGTTACATTAAGTGGCTGTTATGCCATTGACTGGCATGTAACAGCAAACTCAGAATTGAGATGGATAGTGAACATAATTGATATGTATCCACATATATATATTTGTGTGTGTGTGTGTGTATGTTGGTCTCTCTTTCTGTTTCTCGCTTAGTCTGTGACCATTTCATTTTGATGAACCTGTCTCCTTTAACAATGTATATTCCCCTTATATTATATATAATATGAGTGTTTGTTGACAGTCCGTTGCTTGGTGACATATATCCATATATGTTGGTTGTTGACATGTCTGCTATATTTCGCTATGTATATATGGATCGATACTTCATTATAATTAGCCATTCATGTTAAGACTGTCTAGTGATTTGTTCACACCCTTGTCTGAATATTCATGTATATATTTTCGCTCTCACAATTTGTGTGACTTACACTTACCTACTTACTTTGGTGTGATACCACTTTTGCTTCTCCTGGTGTTTTGGAAAATAGAAGTATCATCGCAAACCTAGTGGTCTTCTGATTTCCGCCTTCTTGCGTCAGGACTATTAAATTCTCGACCAGTACATAACAATAATTTAGCGACGAGTACATAACAATAATGCATTCTGTGATAAAATGCATCATAATCTTTGCTCACTGCTTGAATGTCAAAGTGAAGAAATTCTGTAGAGTGGGCGAATACGGTGATTCTAAATCTGGCTCTCCTCGCTATGATGAAGGGTCATCAAGAAGCCTTTTCCAAGGGTGTTTTCTTAATGATTTCTCAAAACAGCTGCCGATTATTGTCACGGTGTAATGTTACTATCTTTTACACTCTCAGGCTTTAAATGTTAATACAAGTTGATCATGGATTGATATCAGTTAGAGAACCATTGAAAACCAGCTGGGAGTGCTGGTCAGCTGTTTTATGAACCTAGTTTTCGGAATCATCGTCAGTACGCACCCGCTGGGGTTCGAACCCAGGACCCGATTCAATGGTTCATGACTGAATGGTATGTCTTGTAACCGCAAGGTTCTGGGTTCGAACCCCCATAGTGTGGGTGCGTACTGACGATGATTCCCAAACTAGGCTCATGAAACAGCTGTCCAGTACTCCCTATGGCTGATTTTCAATGGTTCTCTAACTGATATCAATCCATGATCAACTCGTAAAAACATAACTAACCAACTATATAAAATTTAAGTGTTAATATAAAGAAATCCAACATAAACCCAAGTTATTCCTGAGAGTCGTCATGGTATCCTACAGCTATGGTGGAGAGGGTTTATGAAGGGTTCATGCCATTGCTGTCCCGTGTCCAGTGATCCTCATTCGCTCGGGTCTACAACGTCTACTTTCCACAGTTTACAGCTGGTTATGTAATATTTTAATTAGGTCAGTATTCCTGATCTCTACCGGGAGTAAGATTCTATATCAGTGTGCACCCATAAATCCATTAGGGACCAAGTGAAAGACCTTGAGAATACAAGATGAAATTCATTCATCATTCATCCACCGGTCGGTGGCATAGTGGTTAGGACGCCCGCCAACCATGCATATGGTTCATGTTTTGACCGCCTGCCGACGCACACCTGATATCAATCAATGGTCGGTCTGCAAAATTTGGGCTACTGACACTACATGCCGAAAACTCCATACAATTACACATATAACCACATACATACATACATACATATATTTTGGACTATAATCTATTAACAATCTATTTTTACAAATAACTTTTCGAATTCTCATCTAATTGATTCAATGTTACTCTTTTTAAAACAAACCATTAATGTTGTAAATGTGAATAACAATCATTGTTTAATTATTATTATTATTTTTACGAGTTGATCACAGATTGATTTTATCAGTTAGGGGACCATTAAAAACCAGCCAAGGAGTGCTGGACACCCAAATGCTTCATCCTAGTTTGGGAATCATCGGCAGTACGCACCCACACTATGGGGCTCGAACCCAGGACCTTCCGGTCACAAAGCGAGCCAGCTCGTATACCATTCAGCCACTGGGACCCGATTCCTCAATGGCTCATGAATTCTAACTGCCGATGATTGCCAAACTAGGACTGAGGAAACAGCTTTCCAGTAACCCCGGTGGCTGGTTTGCAATGCTTCTCTAACTGATATCAATCCGTGGTCAACTCGTAAAAACAAAACTAACCCTTAAAAACCAAACTATAGAAAATTAATCTAATGCTCGCTAGTGACGACTAGCCACAGGATGAAGTTTCCTGGAGTGAGTTCTAGTGAGAAGTCGTGACCACAGTGAAGTCCATTTAGATGTCACGTGTGGTGAGAATAGATGTCCCACCGATGACATTGGTTGGTGCGAGTCGCGCTAAATGCATCACGAATTGGTAGAAGTTAGAATTCATGGGCTGGCCAATGGATCGGGTCTGAGTGGTGGCTGAATGGTATTACTAGGCAGCTTGCCTTGTAACCAGAAGGTCCTGGGTTCGAATCCTTCTGTGGTTCCAACCCCTTCTGTGAGTACTGCCCGATAATTCCCAAACTAGGCTGATGAAACAGTTGGCTGTCCAGTACTCCCTGTTGCTGGTTTTCAATGGTTCTCTAACTGATGATATCAAGAATCTGTGGTCCACATCGGGAAAAACAAAACAAATCTAATCCTTACAAACTAACTATTGAAAATCATTGTAATTTGGTATAACTTAAAGTGATGAAGTCTACTGTCAGTCTCGTGTTATTCACAGGATGATGAGTTTTTTCATTGAACACCAGTTGGTAACTAGTGTGACGTGTTTAGTCCTCCGTTTGGTGCAGACTGAATTCTATCAGTCAGTCAGGTTTGCAATGTGGCCATTATGCCACACTAGGTAGCTCACCATCACGATGCACATTGATTTGATGATATTAGATGGCGGTTGGAGGCAGTCGACCACAGGACGCCTTCGACACCATCTAGGTTTCGTGCTAGTTGTCACTCACCAGTCAGTTAGCAAGGCGTATCTGCAACCAACTTGTGAAGGAGTAACTCATGTCCCACCCCTCTGAGATTCGAACCTGCGTCACCCAGTAAGTACTGTCTGTAGTCAGAGACGTTACTACTGAGTCAGCTATTCGGGCTCGCGATTAACTTCCTGTAGGAGTGTAGCGGATATTTTGATTGGACACTAGTAATAATATGGTGGCCCTATTCCGAACCTGACTGATAGAATTCAATCTACACCAAAATAAAAGGACTAGACACATCACACTAGTTACTAGCTGGTGTCCAATCAAGAATATTCTTTCTTTGTTCAATAATCAATATTTTGAAATTTCTAACGGACACCTTTAATCAATTTAATATATTTTATTTTGTTAAGAAAATAATAAACAAGTTTTTACACAAATTTCAAACGATTTCAAACAAAAATTATTGAGTAATTATAAAAATCAATAATAATTATAATTATTATTATCATTATTATTATTACCTTAAAACTGATTTACGCGTTTGTCTTAAATTCGATCAACAACAACAACAAGAGCAAAAAAACACAAAAAGAATAATCCCAAAATAAATTTCCCATAAAATAACCTAAATTTAATTGATATTGCCATTATTTTATTTCACACGAGGCAACTGTATTATCATAATAGTCGTAATAGTAGTAGTACTAGTAGTAAGACTTGACGTCGGTCGATCTCTGAACGTGCTTTTCCCCTAGTTTGAACGCACACAGAGAGTTAGTTAATTAGCCATTTGTTCTATGAGTTATCCTTCTTTTACACCCTCCCCATTTCACCTCACCTCAGCCCAACCGTCTACCCCCACCCCCACCCCATCGTCAATATGCCTCACATAAGTGTTTGGCTTTCTTCTCACACACACACACACACCCCAGTGCCTATTGCCCATTCTTAATGGAGGAATAATTTAAAATTTAATATTTAGGTGAGAAAAGGGGAGAGAGGCGGACAGAAGAATTAAGGTAATATGTAGACTAGATATTTCCCCCCTCTCCTCCTTTATATACATATATATATGTATATGTGTACACCCACGCAAACGCACACACACATACATGCATACATACACATATACTGCATTATATTCTTATGCATAATTACACAAAGTATTTTTAATGTCAAATTTGCGTGAATTTTGCGTAAATGGTAGTCATTTATTCTTTTGCAATATTTTTTTTGGTTTTTCAATTTTACGGTTATATAAATATAAATTATTTTAAAATTGTTTTTAATTTTAATTTTGTTTTATTCCCAGTATATATTGATTAATTAATTGATTGAGTGGACAGGATTTGTGTAGCTGGATGTTATTCAATGCTTTTGTATTCTCTCAAATTTGATCGCGAATGATGACATCAGTGAGTGGAGAGGCATTGGGAAACCGAATGAGGGAGTAGGGGCGGGAATTGAATG